TCAATCAACACCAAGAGCCATCCCCTCCCAGTGCCCAGCCTGCAGGAGGGGACAAGGCGCTGGATGGATGGGCTTTGTGGCCTCTGAGCCCAGCAGGGGGTATGGAAGTGGCACCGCAGGTCTCTGCTGTCCCACCTGAACGTCCTGTCACCAACAGCATGTTATCAAAGCCTTCAGCCTGGTCCCAGCCCACCCTGTGTGGCAGCACCCTGTACAGGGCAGAGGCGCTTCCAAGGAGGCACCTGCACCCCAGACCCTGACAGTCACCGGGGGAGGAGTCTTACACTGACTGTGCTGTTACTACCGGTGGTGGCATGACTGAGTGCACCTGGGACAAGGCTGCTCAGGTCTCTAAATGCGTCATCTCCTTTAATCCTCACCATAGCCTCGGGAATGGGAATCATCATTTCTGTTACAGATGCTGAGGGGTCGGGCCAGGAGATGCAGTCACTGCTGGGGGAGCCAGGGTTAGGGTCTTAGAGCAGCTGACTCTGCAGCTAAGCTCTGACTGCTGGCCCCTACCCTCTCCCACCGGTCCTCGCCAGGCCCCCCAGGAAATGCCCTGCTTCAGCCCACCCCCTGTGCTGTTTTTCTTAGGCCTTGAGCCTTTGCACAAGCTATCTTGCCTTTTGCATAAATGCTCCCCTCCCTCTGGTCACCCACCCAACACTCCTGCTCTAGCCTGGAGGCCTTACCTGACACCAGCTACACCTCCAACCTCATCTGACCTCCCTCTGCCTTTGCAGCCACTCATGGCAAGCCCAAGCAGAGCTACTGGGTTATGTCCCTTCTCAGGTGTGAGGGTGAACTGTCTCCTGGGAAGATCCCAAGTTTCCGCTTCCCCTTCTGGAAAATGAGGAGGCTGAACCAGATGATGTCTAAGCACACAATTCAGTGCCTTTCTGAGTCCATCTTATGCATCAAGACACTGGTGATTTGAGAAGGGAGCAAGGCATCTTTGTTGAGTGACGCCTCCTATGCCCTCCTCCTCCTCCGCTGCCCCTCATACAGCTGATGCATTCAGAGAGCGATGGAAGGAGACTAGCCCTCACCAGAGGCAGCTCCACATCACCTGAGGTCATGGCCATGGAGCCTGCCAGAAGCCTGGGGGCTGGTACGGCCTGGGGGCTGGTAAGGAAGGAGCAGCCATGCAACCAAACATGACCTGCCTTTACCTCCCCAGGACAGGCCCCAACAGTCAGCATCCTCGGGTTTCCAGGGAGACAGTGTGGATGGTTGATATCCGTCTCCCAGAGCTCAGCCCAGGCAGTGTCCGGAGGAAAAGGGGTGGGAGCCTTGCCCAGTGGCTCCAGGAGACACAGATATCCGGGACAGAGAACGGGCCTGTGCAGCTCCCTGCACAAGGAAGCTGAGGTGGAGACGAGATATGGAGAGAAGGAGGGAGGACCAGGCTGAAGACCTAATAGTCTTGACTATGTCAGATCTGTGGGCTGTGGAGGGAGAGGGGAAGCCTGAGGCAATGATGATGCAGGGGCAGAGGGGGAGGAATCAGATGTGGATTCGAGGAAGCGTTATAAAGGACCCTCACTCTCAATAAACCCACTCAATGAAGTCTGTGTGGTTTTTCATGTGGACCAGACAGAAACGGGAGTGGTTTCCTGCCGTGTCTCCTCAGTGTCCAGGCTTGTTATTATGTCAGGCCCCTGTGAGACTGCCCATCGCCAGCCTTGCTCTCAACCATCAAGTGAGGTGAAGTCTGGACTCCAGCGTATTCCGTCTCTCTACAAGTCATAACCTTTGATTCTGAAATTGCCACTGCGCCTTGGCAGACACTCCCTCCCTGCCCAGGGGTCACCACGGTGGTTCCTGCAGGGCCTTTTGAAGTTCATCTACTGCTAAGAGAAGGCACAATGTACGTACGTTGTAGGGTTACTTTCCGGCACCAAGAACGTCAGCACCAGGATCTCTCACCTCCTGAAGCAGAGTCCCTGTCACAAGGTGGCAGGCGTGAGGTTGGGGATGTTGTCAGGGCCCCGGAGCCACTACAATCCTTTAAGTTAACAATGCAGATCAGCCCTGGGCTACCAGCCTAGGAAGACTCAGCCCACAAGGTTGGGCAGGAGCTGGCTTTGCGTGACTCAAAGCTGTCAGATGTATCAAGCCCAGAACTGGAAAGAGGGGACTAGCTAATCACAAGGGGTGCCCAGGAGGCACACTGACACACACACAGGCCACTGAAAGGAGTCCTGGAAACACAGGCTGCTGCCCAGCAGGGAGGGCTGGCTTCTGAAAGAGAAGAGAGGAGAGGGGGGGTGTAGAGAACAAAGCCAACAGCAGATCCATAGCTGCTCTTACCGAGTGAGCAGCTTTGTGTGTGGTGCTGCGCACTTGCCTGCACCGCCTCCGGTCACATGCCTGGTGACTGTCTCCGGCGCACAGCTAGCCAATAGTTGAGCCCGGATTTAAACCAGTGCAGTCTGATTCTACAGCCCATGCTCCCCACTTCATGCCACAGTCTCCCCAAAGTAGGGATCACAGAGCTCTAGTTCCTCTTTCCTCCAGGCATCCTGTCTCCCTCCCCACCCCCAACACAGCACAGAAGCCCCTCCCTGCCCCCCAGCTTCTGACCATCGCACCAGCCCATCACCCCGTCCCCGTGCTTTGGGAGGAAAGAGCTGGGCTGGAACCTTTCTAAGAACTATCGGGGGGGGTCCTGTTTGAAACCCATTGTGGGGGTGCAGCTCTGGCTTCAGGAGAAAGGCCTTGAGGTGAAAAGATAGATCCCTCTTTTCTAACAAATGCTACTCGTGCTCCAGAGGCAATGAGAGGTCCAAGCTGAGCCAAGGGCCACCTGCTGATAAAAGAGCTGGTGCCTGAAAGGAGGGTGCTGGAAAGAAGCCCGAGTCTGAGTGGAAGGAAGGCTCAGTGTCCTTTGTTCCCCTGGTCACTTGCTTCATAGTGTCCATGTGACGGCCCATCAGGATGGGCGACCGGTGCTCTCAGTGCTGCCAGGAACGCCTGCAGAACCAAAGGAAAGGCCTGGCCTGGGTGGCTCTGTGGGTAGAGCGCTGGCCTATGGACCGAAGGGTCCCGGGTTCGATTCCCGTCAAGGGTACAAACCTCGGTTGCAGGCTCCTCCCTGTCCCGGGCCCTGGTGGGGGCTCATGCAGGAGGCAACCAATCAATGTGTTTCTCTCACATCGATGTTTCTCTCTGTCTCTCCCTCTCTTTTTCACTCTCCCTAAAAATCAGTGGAAAAATAATCTCGGGTGAAAATTAAGGGGGGGAAAGGAAAGATAGGGGATCTAGTCTTTCACATCAAACCCTTGTCAGACCTGCCCTCCGGCACCGAGGACACTGCAGCCTAGACTGGGGGACCCAAGGCCAGGACTGCTGACAGCTCTGGCTTCACTGGGAAGAGCCTGAGAAAGTTAAATCTTCCTTCCCAGCTGCTAGGCGGTAACCTCCATGACAACCAGGGTTCCATCGGTTCCTGCCCAACCCCCGCCCAGAACAGTGCACAGGGACACCCACTGAACATCTGACCGACCAAGTGCATAAACGCATGACCATCCCAGGTGCCTGTCCCCCAGGCCCCATCCGAGGACCCCGTGTCATCTTCTGCAGGTGAGCACCTGCCCTCCGTGCTGGGGGGCGCTTTCTGCAAGGGGCGTTATGAGACCATCTGGCCCACACCTGGGAGCCGAGAGACCAGTCACCAAGACGAGCTGCCCCAACCCAACTCTCTCCCTGGAGAACTCAAACAAGGCACTGAGGGCACCGGGCACAATGCCCACCGCAAGGGGCCGCCCGCCGCCCGAGGGCAGGACTGTGCCTGCCACCTGTCTGCGTTGGCCTCAGAGCATGAGATCCTGCATCATGTCTGACATGGAGGACGTGCCCCCTAAAAGTTTCCTGAATGAAAATAAACACAGAGTCCGTTGGACCTGGATGGCCCGTATGGGACAGGGACGCCTCTGATAGATGTCCTTGAGCAAGCTGCTCTTCTGTTTGTTTTCTTACTTTGCCATTGAGCATTGTTAAAGGTTGAATTGGGCTAGAAAAGGAGGAGATGGGGCCTCTAATGTCTGAGGGAATAGATGCTCTCACCTCTGGGCTAAGTGCTCCTCCCTTGCTTCCCTCTCTACTGGAGCTGTTCACTTCCAGCTGAGCTCCAAGCTACCAGCCCACTCACTGGGAAGCTCATTCTATAAGGTCGTCAAGGCAATCTCAGCAACAGGCCGGAGACTCCATGGCAGGTGTGAGCTCGCACGGAGCTCACAGGTTAATGATGTGAGTTCAGAGTCCAGACTTCGCTCAGCGATTGACTAGCTCTGTGGCTAAGAAAGTTATCCAATGTCTTTCAGCCTCTGTTTCTTTTGTAAAATGGGGATAATAATACTTAACTCTTGGGCTGTTGGGAGAATTAAAAGCAGGGACCAGCACACAGTAGGGGTTCTATATGTATGACTTGAGTTACCTACTATGCATGTTTGAAAGCACTGCAATTCACAAAGGATTTGTTTAAATCTCACAATTTGCAGAGTAGATCCTATCCTTTCCATTTTACAGATGAAGAAACCGAAGTTAAATAGGATAAGTGAGTTGTCCAAGGTTACCCACAGAATGAAAACCAAGCTCCATCCCACGTCCCAATTTCTTCCCAGAGTACTGCCCTCAGCACAAGAAAGCAAGATGGGCGGCCGGGCACGCAGGGACCAGGCTACCCTCGGGCTTCTTATCTTAATCACACACCACGTTTCATTTAGTGATTTGTGTACACAATGTCCAGGAGGATAAATGAATCAAAATATGAATGAATAAATGAATGAATGAATGAGTATCTTGTCTTAGTTCAGCTCCACCCATGACTCATGACAAAACCTGGGAATCTAGTATAGGGCCTCCTGGCATATGTCTCTCTCCCTCCCTTGTAAATGTCTATACCACAGGCCTGGCAATGGGAGCAACTCATCGCACCTCCAGCCCCTCCTCTTACAACAAGCAAAGCAGAGGGCAGTCCTGCCCATTCTACGTACTGGTTTCTGCAGTCTCATATTCGCTGTCTCTGAGGAGCTCAAAGATGTCCACTTCGACCTTGGCTTTGCCCAGCCTCTCAGGAGCACGATTGATGCGGTTCTTGGCCAGGGTGATGGAGAGCCGCTCCCCTCTGCTGCACTCCATGGGGTCATCCAAGATAGCAGCTGTGGGCAGGCAACCACAGGCAGACAGTTGGTACCCTGTACGTTACTCCTCCTGCTCCTCCAGGCTCCCATGACTGCCTACTGCCAGGAGGCTCCCGCGTCGCCATCCACCCAGCTGTCCTCAGAACTGTCCCCAGAACAAGTCCTCTGCATCCTCCGGGCCTTGGTCTGCAGCCATCACTACAGTGAACTCCACGGGGACCCACCTCGGGAGCCTAGAAATGTCGTGGAGGCACGGGTCTACCTGGATGAGGGCGCCAGGCCACCATGTGACTCCCTTCCATATATGTCTGCGTGCACACGCAGCACGTGTGTGTGGAGGAAAGGAGGCAGGAACTGTCCTCCAGCAAGGGTGTACTGGCACATGCGAGGCTCCCCTGAGGGCAGGCTGGGGGGAGCTGGGTGTTGGAGCAGCAGGGACATGCTGGGTGCTGGCCCCAGGCTCCCACTCCATGAGCCTTGTCACCCAGGCAGTAACATTGTTGGTCTGAACTTTTCCTCAGTGGACATTAGGAAGAGTAAGACACACTCACGGGGTCAGTGTGAGGTTTCACAAAGATAATACAGGGATGTAACACACTGTATAAATGTAATCTGTGTGACTTCATCAATGTGAAGTCGACTTAATGGAGTGCTGTGGTTCCAAAAGCTGCCTGACTTCTGTAAGTGTCTTAAAGCCACACTTACAGTGTCATAGTTCCTGGGTTCAAATCCAAGCCCCACCCCGTATTAGCTACAGGGCCTCAGTTTCCTTGTCTGTATAATGGGGACAGAGGCTATTGCTTGGGCTATTGTGAAGATCACACGAATAGTATGTGTGCAGTGCTCAGCACAGTACCTGGTACATGGTAAACACTCAACAAATCTAACTATTGATGTCATTCCCTCTCTTGGTAGAAGTTACCCAATTGAAAATCTCTATACAAAGACTTGTATGCAAATGTTCACAGCAACATTATTCATAATCGCTCAAAAGTGGAAAAGCCCAAAGCCCCGAAGCTGATCGGACAGACACAGTGGCACAACCTGAGGGGCTATGAAGTCCTGACACATGTGACAACTGGAAAGGTCAGCCACAGACGCCACACGGGGATTGCCCCGTTTACATGACCTGTCCAAATGCGTGCTGCCTGCTGGCGGGTGGGATGGGGGTGTCCGGGGTGGCAGAGCATCCGAGGTGGGGGCTGGAGCAGGAGAAACACAGGGCGACTGCAAGTGCGTGCAGTCTTTCTTTGGGGTGAACACGTTCTAACAGGGATTGCAGTGAGGGATGCAACTGGGACACGTTAGAAACCACTGAAGTGTACACGTTAATGAATGAATTGTGGGGCATCTAAACTACATCTCAGTAAAGCTGTTACAACACAAATACCGAGCTTGTCTCTCAGAAGCTGAAGACTCAGGAAAGCAATGTGGGGGATTGAGCCACGGGGCTTACCACCATGTGAGCCCTGAGTCTGCGCTGCTGTGGGTGGAGTTCGCGGCCGGCCTCTGTGCAAGCTCCCGTGCTGCGTGACCCACTTTTCAAACCAAAAACCAGGGCAGAAAGCGTCGGAGCACTGTCCCTGATGGTGGGTTTATTTATACGAACAGCCCCACTGGGCAGTGGGAGTGACATCTCCTTTCTGAGGTTGGTCAAATGCTGGGCCGCCGAGGTGCATCCCCCCACCTGGGCAATGGAGTGGGCTTCTGTGAGGTGTGAGCAAAGTTCCCACGCACCTGATGGCATTCGCCACCTGCAAGGTCGCGGAGAAACGGTGAGTGTGTGTGAGCCTGAAGAGGCTGGGACACCTGGACCTCCACCCAGCGGCCCCAGGAGAGCAGACCCAGAAGGAGACTGTCACTCAAGCACAGCGCGTGGGCAGGCAGGCAGGGCCTGCTCCTGCGCTGCTGGCGGGGCTGAGAAATGGGGCCACCATGTGGAAAACAGGCTGGCAGTTTCTTAGCACATTGAGGGCAGATTATGAGCATTCTCGTGTTTTCATATTCCAGTGTTTTACGTAAATGTTAAAGGCACGCCTTAAAATTAAATACCCATTGCATTTTGAAGTTATTTATTACATGTTCTTACAAGCTAATATCTTTTCAAAGTATGATACTTTGTAAAACGTTTTTTGTGCTCTTTCAATAGAAACTTATCTGGCCACTGGGTAAAGCTAGCAATAAAATTACTGGTGCGCAATGTGATAAGAAGTGAACTATACAACAACCATATGATTCAGTCATTCTACTCCTACGTACTTATCCAAAAGGAAAGAAAGTGTATACCTACACAAAAATTGGTACAAAAATGTTCATAATAACTTGATCTGTAATAGTCAAAGATTGGAAAAAACCACTAATAAGTCAATGCATAACCAAAGTACACTGAATACTACTCAGGGGTAAAATGGAATTAAAGAAGCCAAACAAATGAACACAGTGTATACAGCATGACTTCATTTTTATACTTTTCTAGAAAATACAAACTAATTTATTATGACAGTAGTGGCCTGGAGGTGGGGCTGGGGGCAGGGCAGAAGGGAGCAGGAGTGAGGAATCACAAAATGGCATCAGGAAACTTTTTTGGCTAATAAAAAATTCACTGTCTGAGTTGTGGTGATGGTATTATGGGTATATGCATGGTAAAATATCCAATTGTACACTTCAAAATGTTTGCAATTTATTGCATATAAATTATACCTTGATTTTTAGAAATACCTTAATTAGGAAAAAGTTACTATTCCTCTGGCTCCTTCCTACTTTCTCCCTCCCCTCACTCTCACTCTCAGCAAGGAAAACACTTAAACTGTGTGGGTGTGCATCCACTGCCTCCAATCCTCAGCACCTTCTCATCCTGAGCCACCACCAGCTCTGCATTCACTCTCAGATCCAAGTCCTTCCTTACGAAGCTGAAGGTCTTATCTCGGTTCCCAGTGTTTTGAAGCTCTCTGAGGCACTTCTGGCTGCAGCCCTTTGACACGCATGATATGACACTATTCTGATTTTCATTCTTATCACCTTCACCCCCCCCACACACACTCCCTTCCATCTGCTATACAACCCTAGCTGCCAGTGTTCCCCAAACCTCACACTTTGGATTTAGTCCTCAGTCCACTTTCTCTTCATGGTGCACTTTCTCCATTGCCGAATTAATTCTCAACTATCGGATCTTTGCAGGCAACTCCAAACCACGCATCAGACTCTTATTTATGGCTGTTAAAAAGAAAGGCCCCTGAAGGTCCTTCCAGACTGCATGACCTCAGTGTAACCCAAACTCTTTTCATAGAACGGGGGCTCTCTCTGATTCCCCAGTGTCAGGTAGTAGCACTAGTTCCCCCAATGCAATCAGCTCAGAACTGTCCTGCAACTCCCCCTCCCTCAGCCATCCGATCGGTTCCATCACTGAAGGCCTTTGGAGTTCACTCCTGTCCACTGCTCTCTCCCTATTCCTCTGCCTCGCTCCTGCAATACCCTTACCCTGTTTCCCATCTCCATCCCTCCTGCACTAACCCAGCTACTCCCCAGGGCAACTTCCCTGCCTGACCCCCACATGCCTTTCCATGCTCACATTCTCCTAAATTCTCTAGGAGTCCTTATGACACTGCATAAAGCACGCCCCGACACATGTCTCTTTCCCAGGTGGTCTGCTCTTCCTAGAGAGCTCTCAGCTCTTCTTCATCCACATCCAAACCCTGCCTACACTATGCTCCATTCTCATGCCCATGCCCACCTGCCTCAGGCAATTGTAGATTGTCCAGCCCATGGTGATTTTGAATCTTCAACACCCAAAGCACTTACTGTCTGGGCGATTCCTCTGCGGGGGTGGGGAACACCGTCCTGCAGGCTGTATGAGGCTCACAAATCATTTGGTCTGGCCCTGCCAAGGCATTAGGGGTGAGTAAATTAAGTGTTTGACCAAATACAGCAGCTTAATTTTTAAGTTGATAATTGTGTATGGCCCGCAAATGATGCTATAAATATTCAAATGGCCCTTGGCAGGAAAACGGCTCCCCACCCTGGTTTAGAGCTTAACTTGTACTTTATAATTCATATAAGTAATGCATTGATTCATTTAATCATTCCTTTATTTATTCATTCATAAAATACTTACTTAAATTCTTATCTTAAGCAAGGCACTTTGTACACAGATAAGCATAAGATACCCTTGATTTCCAAGTGTCCAGAAAGAGATATGACCATAGAAGCAAACAGCCACAACCTTATGAGGTAAGTGATGTGACAAAATCTTATTATGCTCCAGGCATAAACCAGAAGTGCTCATTGTGGTGGGAAATCACAGGTAAATAAGACTAAGCCCTTGGCCTTGAAAGGCATCTGTGGAGATGAGGTGAGGAGTGGAGTGAGGAGGAGACGGACTGTGCAATGAAGTAGGTGGTTCCATAGAAAGAGTCACAAAATTCCAAGATAAACCAAACCCTTCCCTGTGTAGAGGGAAGTTTTAAGGAAGTCCTCATGCATATATCTCGCACACATGTGGTGAGTGTCTGCTACCTTCCAGGTACTCCACCAAGCACTATGAGATTTAATAAGTGACTTCAGCAACGTGGCAGAATACAAAATTAACATGCAGAAACTAATAGCATTTTAATACAACAATAAACTCTAAGAAAGAAAAACTTAAAAAAATCCCATTTACCAATGCAACAACAACAAAGTAAGATACCTAGGAATAAACTTAACCAAGGAGAGAAAAGACTTGTACTCAGAAAACTATGGAACATTTTAAAAAGAGGTAGAGGAAGATACAAATAGAAGCATATACCATGTTCATGGATTGGAAGAGTTAACATCATTAAAATGTCTAAACTACTCCAAGAAATCTATAAATTCAACGCAATCACTATTAAAATACCAATGACATATTTCACAGATCTATAACAAATGTTCCAAAAATTTATATGGGACCAAAGAGACCTTAAGTATCCACAGCAATCTTGAGAAAGAAGAACAAAGTGGGAGGGATCACAATATTGGATATCAAACTATACTACAAAGCC